TTATGCTTTCTGATTGCTTCCAGGTAGATGTGATCAGGATGTGGGCTTCCCTTTTCACTTTTCTTATTGCTTAACTCAGAGTAACTTTCAAAGGTGTTGTTTGCCTCCTTGGTATATGGCAGTTGGTATTTCTGTGTCTTCTTGGGTAATATAGGGAGATAAAGAGTCCCTAAAGGTATAAGGGGGAGCATAAAACAGCAAAACAGCACCAGCAAAAAAAAAAAAAAAAGCAAAAACAACAACAACAAAACAAAACTAGACTGAATACTGCATTTTATAATCACAGAAAAGGGAGAGGCAGTCAGAAGAAAAAATATATTTTTTTAATTAAAAAAAAAAATTCTGTAGCATAATATGAGTATGAGTTTAATGTCTTGTATTCAGCTTGCTTTCAAAGCTGCCTGAGAGATTTCAAGATGCCAGTGTTGGTTGTTATTCTATACCTCAGGCTTTAATTTAATTTTTGGCCTGTTTCATTTTTAAACTCTCTTTCCCTCTCTGCAGCCCTGTCCTGGCCTTTAAAATTGTCCAGTCTTGTGTTCCTCCCAGTGTCTTCCTTTGTCTGATAATTTTATACTGACATTTCCCTTATTGTATATTGTCTTTCCTTTCACTCAAGTTAATACATGCCTGTCTTCCTAGTGTGGCGTTGTTGAATAAGCAATGGACTGCTAACTGCAAAGTCACAAGTTCAAACTCAGTCACTTCTCAGAAACTCTGTGAGTTGGAACCAATTTTATGGCATGTAACAATAAACAACAACAATAAGCAGTTATTTCCTGTCCCTTCCCCTTCCATAACTGGTAGACATCAAAGAATGATTCTTTCCGTGTGAAAACCTTTGCTTGACATTTTATAATAGCAGGTTCATAGAGTATTTGTCCTTTTATGATTGACTAACTTCGCTAAACATAATGTTCATCCAAGATATGAGGTGCTTTGCAGATTCATCATTATTCTTTAAGATTGCCTAGTATCACATTAAGGAGCTCTGGTAGCATAGTGGTTACGAATTGGGCTGAGAACTGCAAGGTCAGCAGTTTGAAACTACCAGCTGCTCCACGGAAGAAAGATGAGGATTTCTGTTCCTGTAAAGATTTACAGCCTTGGAAACTCTTTTCGCTATGGGTGGGAACCGACTTGACGGCACTTAACAACAACAAAGTATCACATTGTATGTATGTACCACAGTTTGTTTATCTATTCACCTACTGACAAGCACTTAGGTTATTTCCATCTTCTTGCTATTGTGAATTGTGCTGTACAAACACAGAGGTCCAGGTATGATTTATTTGTGGCTTGGCTCTTATTTCTCTAGGATACCTAGTAGAGAGAAATATGTCTATTTCCAACTTTTTAAAGGAAGCACAATATCATTTTTCACAGTGGTGGCACCATTTTACAATCTTACCAGCAGTATATGAGGGTTCCGGTCTCTTTCTGGTCTCTCTGCACCCTTGCCAGCGTTTGTTATTTTTTGTTTTTTTGAACTTTGCTATTAATGCTAAGGTTAGATATCTCAATGTTGTTTTGATTTACATCTCTCTAACAACTTCATTCTTCTTGGATCAACTATCAACACTCATGGAAACAGCAGTCAAGAAATCAAATGATGTATTGCATTAGGTAAATCTGCTGCATAAAACCTTTTGAAAGTGTTGAAGAGCAAAGATGTCAGCTTGAGAACTAAGGTGTGCCTGACCCAAGCCATGGTATTTTCAATAACCTCATATGCATGCAAAAGCTGGACAGTGTGAATAAGGAAGACCGTAGAAGAATTGATGCCTTTGAGTTATGGTGTCGGAGAAGAATATTGAATGTGCCATGGGGTGCTAAAAGAACCAATAGATCCATTTTGGAAGAAGTGCAGCCAGAGTGGTCTTTAGAGGCCAAGATGGCCAAACTTCGTCTCTCATACTTCAGACATATTGTCAGGAGGGACCAGTCTCTGGAGAAGGATATCATGTTTGATAAGGTGGAGGGTCAGAGAAAAAGAGGAAGACCCCCCCAACGAGATGGATTGGCCAAGTGGCAGCATCGATGGACTCAAGCGTGTCAACAGTAGTGAGGTTGGCCCAGGATCGGGCAGTGTTTCATTCTGCTGTGCATAAGGTCACTATGAGTCAGTACCAACTCGATGGACCTAACAACAACAACAATGACTAATGATCATAAACATGTCTTCATGTGTTTATTGGTCACTTGAATGTCTCCTTTGGTGAAGTCAATATATATATATTTTTTAAATAAATGAATTAATTAATTCCAGAGTGATTGAGGCTGTCATTTGCTTGCTATGTAAATTTGTGCAAATCTCTTCACCTCAGTGAACCTTAATTTCCATCAGTAAATTTGTTTAAATGATATACATACCTTTTTGAGTTGCTGACAAAATGAAATGACAATTTTAATAATTTTGTTGTTGGTAAGTGCTATCACATTGCTTCTGACTCATATCAACCCTGTATAGTGTTTCCAAGGAGCAGCTGGTGAGTTTGAACTGCTGACCTTGTGGTTTGCAGTTCAGTGCTGATCCTACAGTGCCACACCAGTAGTCCATTTTAATAATAATAGCTATTTATTAATTGGAGTCCTGGTGTGGTGCTGTGGATTAATGGCTCCTCAGAAACCCTACATGGGATCGCTATGGGTTGGAACTGACTCAAGGGCACTTATCAATAGCAACAAATTTATTGACCAGCTTCTGTGCCACTAGGATAAATGTTTTGCAGTATAATCTTCAATTCTCACAGGAGCCTTTAAAAATATGAGCTAAGATTCACCACTTTGGCTATTTTAAAGTGTATAATTCAGTGGTTTATGATATAGTCACAGTGTTGTGCAAACATCACCACTATCTAATTCCAGAGCTTTCTCATCACTCCAAAAGGAAACCTCAGGGAATGGACCCTAAACAACCACTTTCCATTTCACCCTCCTCCTTACTCCGGAAACCCTGGATCTCCTTTCTGTCTCTGTGGATTGATCTGTTAAGGATAGTTCATATAAATGGAATCATGCAACATGTGTCTTTTTGAGTCTGGCTTCGTTCACTCAGCATAATGTTTTCAAAATACATCAATATCTTATTCTTTTTTATGACTGAATTATATTCCATTGCATTGATATATCACACTTTTTCAGTTCATGAGTTAATGAACATTTGGGTTGTTGCCATGATTTGGATAGTATGAATAATGATTTGAGCATTACTATATACAAGTTTTGTGTGAACTCATGTTTTTAATTCTTCTGGCTATATACCTAGGAATGAAATTGCTAAATCATATGCTAACTGTGTATTTAATTGAGGAACTTCCACATTGTTTTCCAGAGCACTTGCACCATTTTACATTCCCACCAGCAATGTATGAATGTTTCAATTCCTCCACATCCCAGATAAACGTAGGTTTTTAGAAATGATCATCCTAACTGAAAACTCTGCAAAGGCTAGCTCTACGCTGAAGTACACAGAGTCTCTATGAGCCAGAATTGACTCAACTATCAAAGGGTTTGGTTTTACTAGTTGTTGTTAGAGGCCTTCAAGTCAATTCCGATCATAGTGACCTTACATACAACAGAAAGAAATACCGCCTGGTTCTGTGCCATCCTCACAATTGCTGCCATGCTTGAGCCCATTGCTGCTGCCTCTGTGCAAATCTATCTTTTTGGGGGCTTCCTTCTTTTTCGCTGACCCTCTATTTTACTAAGCATGATGTCCATCTCTATGGACTGGTCCCTTTTGATAATATATCTGAAGTATGAGAGATGAAGTCTGGCAATCTTGGCTTCTAGGGAGCATTCTGGTTGTACTTCTTCCAAAACAGATTTGTTTGTTTTTCTGGCAGTCTATGGTATCTTTAATATTCTCCTCCAACACCATGACTCAAATGCATCAATTCTTCTATGGTCTTCCTTATTCATCATCCAACGTTCACATGCATATGAAGGTATTGGGTCAGGTGCACTTTAGTCCTCAAATTGACTTCTTTGCTCTTCAACACTTTAAAGAGGTCTTGTGCAGCAGATTTGCCTAACTGCAGTACATCATTTGATTTCTTGACTGCTGCTTCCGTGAGTGTTGATGGTTGATCTGAGCAAAATGAAGTCTTTGACAACTTCAATCTTTTCTCCATTTATCATAATGTTATTCGTTGCGCTAGTGGTGAGGCATATGGAGCTGTAGGATCAGCACTGGACTGCAAACCACAAGGTCAGCGGTTCAAACCCATCAGCTGCTCCTCGGAAACCCTATACTGGATCGCTATAAATCGGAAACGACTGTATGGTACTTAACAACAACAACAAAGTGTAAAGTGACATTTTATTGTGGCTTTGACTTGCCTTTTCCTTGATAACTAGTGTACAGCTTTTCATGTAATTATTGGCCATTTCACAGAAGTCTTTTGAGGTGGCATCTCCATTTTACAGTGGCATAAATGGAGATTCAGAGAGTTGAGTTGACTTGTTGGATGCAAGGGTGTAGTGGTGCTGGACCTGGAACCTGGTTGTGTCTGTTTCCGAAGTCCATGCCCTTCCCTTCTGCTGCCCAGCGGAGCTGAATTAACGGTAAAAACAACTGGAGACCGGGTCTCTGGTCTGTCCACCGTGGGCAAGTCCTTTTCTCGTTCCGAGTGTTAGGGTTTCCTCCCCGCCACTAGGGGCAATATACTCCAAACATCTCCGGGCTGGTCTAGAAAGTCATGATTCGCGTGGGGGTGGGTTGAGGGGGTGGTTACTTAGCCGGAAGTGCTCACCTCTTTTCGCTTGTCCCCGCCCTCGGCCCGGAAGTGCTTATTCGGGAAGATGGCAGCTGTGTCGGTGTATCAGCGACCGGTTGGAGGTTTTTCTTTTGATAACTGCCGCAGGTGTGGCCTTGCGGGGGGACTGGGGTGAGGGCGGGAGTGGGAGTTCGGTGTCCAGGTAGGAGCGGGGCCGTGGGCTAGTCTGCAAAGTAGGAGTGTGGGGTGAACTGCGGGGTCTGCGGCCCGAGGCTCGTGTGACTCAGGGGAATCCAGGCCTGAGCGCGAGTTTCTCCGGAGGCCGGATCAGCCCTCCTCCCCAGTTCCTCCTTAGAAGAACCACGGCCTTTCTCCGAGACTCTTTTCTTTAAAATCAAAAATTAAAAACGGGAACCATGCTCCTGAGATTCGAAGATTCAGTGAACTGAGGGGTGTAAGAGCAAATAGTTACTGTTTCATGAGTTCACTATTAAGTACGTCTAGTGTCAGTGCGACTTAATGTGGTCCTGCGGTCAGCACTCAATTCCCTCTTTTGCACTCAGGAATGCCGTCTTGGAAGCCGAGTTTGCAAAGAAAGGTTACAAGCTTCCAGCTGCCCGGAAAACTGGAACGACCATCGCGGGGGTGGTTTATAAGGTAAACCTGGAGCACGGATGCCTGGCATGGTAATGAGTCAGGAGAAGCTGATGTACTAGAATAAGTCCATCAGGAAAAGCTGTGATTGCTTTTGTCGGGAGATTTGGTGCATTTGATAACAGTTCATATTCTTTTCTCTCTCTGCAGAGTTATTGATACCCTTTGCGTTTTTAAGTTAGTACTGTAGGAAGCAGGTTAATATAATGAGAGAGCTGAAGATTTGGGTGGTGTTAGGCAAATTATTCATTTCACTTAGGTGCTTCCAATTTGGGGCAGGTGGTCTTCACAGCCATCCTTTCTTCAACAACTGGAGATAACAACTCCTGCCTTAGAGGGTGGTAAAGGTCAAGAGAAAGAATGATAACTGTTGTTAAGGTAGAGAATGACATTTTAGAAAGAAATTGACAGAGGGGGGCTCTTGTAATGGGAAGATTTCTGAGTCTTAATCCAGACTTTCCCAAGGTTAGCTTTGTGATGTATAAGGAATTGACTGAATTTTTGAGCCTCATTTTTAAAATTTGAAAATGAGGATGGTAATTCCTATCACCTACTCAGGAGTCTTCTAATAAGATTTATTAATGATCCTTTTCTTGAACTCTGAAAGTGTAACAACAGATTTTTAGTAGGAGAAATGATTGGGTTGTAGTGTTGGGGGAGCAGGAGATGGCCAACATTGTTTTGTCTCTAAACTAGAGTACTGTGGTTTATACATGTAAAATGGTTTCAAACTTTTTTAATAGGATGGCATAGTTCTTGGCGCAGATACAAGGGCAACTGAAGGAATGGTTGTTGCTGACAAGAACTGTTCAAAAATACACTTCATATCTCCTAACATTTAGTAAGTATTGATGAGTTTCAATAACTTGTGTATCTTCAAACGTCATCTTGTTGTTAGGGTAATGCCCATCTCATACCGACCCCATATCATAGAACTTGCCTTGTAGGGTTTTCTTGACTGATTCATAAAGTAGTTGTGATTGTTAAGTGTTGTTGAGTCAGTTCCGACCCATAGTGACCCTGCATAGGCTTTCTGAGGAGCAACTGGTGAGCTTGAACTGCCAACCTTGCATTTCAAACTGATTTTGCAGTCTAGCACATTAACCCACAGCACCACACCAGGACTCCGACCCGTAAAGTAGAAATCTTCCAAAATTGAACTTATCACCTTCCTTAGTAAAACTTAGTGTTCAACCTGTATTTTCTATCTTCCTTATTAGAAGTTCCATCTACACTGTAACGAAGTCAGGCATCCTCAAGTCCTTTCTTTACTTCAGTCTCTAATACAGTTGGTTTGCCTTCCATGTGGCTCTGGAACCCATCCTCTCCTAGAAGGGCCTTAGTTCATCACCCCCCAACTCATTTCCCCCCTCAGCAGTTGTGAATAGATTGTTTCTCTGCCTCTTACACTTTTTATTGTCCATTTCTCTGTCATTTTGAAGTCTGTAAAATACAGATCTGATTATGTCTCTTATGACTTTAAAAACTTTTCAAGAGACTTCATATTTCTACCCTGCTTTCTGAATAAAATTGGAAAATTGTAGCTTGGTATTTAAGGTCTTGCACAATATCATAGCAGCTTACCTTTTTACTCTTGTTTTACAATTATCATCCTAACTCCATACTATTGTTACACTGGGGTTGCTTTTATAGTCCTAATGTACCATAAGTTCTCCGACAATATTTATCTGTGCTTGTGCCAACCCCCTTCTGTTTACAAGTGCTATTTTTCCCTGCTTGTAGAGTTCTTTTTAGTCATTCAAATTCTGCTCACGTGAAACCTCTCAAAGGTCAGAATTAAATCTCTCCTATAGGAGTACTGGTGTGGTGCTGTGGGTTAATGCACCAGACTTCAAAGCCGTTTGAACTGTAAGGTCGGTGGTTCAAGCTCACCAGCTGTTTCTCAGAAATCCTATACAGTGTTGCTATGGGTCAGAATCGACTCGACGGCACTTAACAACAACAATAGCATGTTGTGGCGCTGTGGGTTGATGCATCAAACTGCAAAGCCCTTTGAACTGAAAGGTCGCTGGTTCAAGCTCACTAACTGCTCCTTGGAAATCCTATACAGGGTTGCTATGGGTCAGAACTGACTTGATGGCACTTGACAACAATAGTAACAACATAGCATGTTGTGTCAGTGGAGCAGCTGGTGGGTTTGAATTGTCAACCTTGTAATTCACAGTCCAGTGCTGATCCTACAGCTCCACACCAGGAGTCCATGGCATACAATATGGAGTATTAAAATTTTTTGTCTCCTCCACTCAACTTTGAATTCTTGTGCCAGGACCATGATACATTTGTTTTTTTAATATCCAGCACTTAGTGACTTTGTTGTTAAATGCCATTGAGTCAGTTCCAGTTTATATCATTAACTGTTGTTAAATTGTTACATGCCTTTAAGTTGGTTCTGACTCAAAGCAACCCCGTATAGGGTTTCCGAGGAGCAGCTGGTGGGTTACATTGAAAATATGTGATAAATGCCATATTGCAAGATTTTTCATTTATAGAAGGGTAAGTCGAAAAGTATTGCTATTAGGATTCTAGTTTATTTATTCACGGGTTCATTCCAATAAAATGCGTTTAAACTTGTCTCCATGATCAGTGGATGGCTTCAGACAAATTCAGTAATACACTTGCTTTAGTATCCTTTTGTTAAGTGCCATCTAGTCAGGTCCAACTCAGACCTTATATAGGGTTCCCAAGGACTGCCTGGTGGGTTTGAATTGCCCACCTTTCAGTTAGCAGTCTAGTGCTTATCCTACATTGGCACACCAGGATCCTTACTCTTGTTGTTGTTAAGTGCTGTTGAGTCGATTCTGACCCATAGCGACCCTGTGTAGAGTTTCCAAGGAGCAGCTGGTGAGCTTGAACCACCAACCTTACAGTTTAGATGACTTTGCAGTCTGACGCGTTAGCCCACGGTGCCATACCAGGACTCCTTTATTCTCATTGGTTGTGGTGGTGGTTATGTGCCCTGGAGTCGGTTCCGACTCATAGCAACCCTGTACAGGGTTTCCGAGGCTGTAAATCTTTACGGGAGCAGAAAGCATCATTTTTCTCTCGCGGAACAACTGGTAGTTTCGAACTGCTGACTTTGAGGTTTGCAACCACTATGCTACCAGAGCTCCTTTACCCTCATTAGGGAGCCTAAAAAAAAAAAAAAGGATACAATCAAACAGGTTTCCAAGGGGTTCTGTTGAGTCAGTTAAATTCTTAAATTAAAGGCAGTGAGGACAGCTCAGAAGGTCTTGGTGACTTTTTTTTTCTTGAAAGACAGACACAGGATTATCATAGACTTTATTAGGAAGAAGTTTTTAGATTATTAATAGCTGAGCTGCATTGTTGAGAAAAAGGCCAAGAAAGTTGGCTTAGGGTTTTTTTTTTTCCTGTTACAACAATGTACCTGCTCATTCTTTGAGGGTAGCAAGGGCTGTCCTTTAAGAATTTTATTGGGAAACTTTACCCCATCCATCCTACAACTCTGTTTTTGTCTCTTCAGACTTCTTTTTGTTCCCCAAACTCAACATTTAAAAGAAACATAATTTGGATCCCTTGAAATTGCTGTTTGACATGATGTAAATCAAAGAGTGCAGAATTTTTTGGGAAAGGGTTTGGTGTTATTAAATGCCATTGAGTTGGTTCCAACTCACAGAGATCTTGTGTAGGGTTTCTAAGGCTTTAAAACAATTTTTTTGCAGGAGCAGAAAGCCTCATCTTTCTCATGAGGATTGATTGATGGGTTCATGCCAATCTTGTGGTTTGTAGTCCAGTGCTTATCCTATGGAGCCACTGTGCTCCCTGGGTGGTGGTGGCAGTCTGTGCTGTCAAGTCGGTTCCAACTCAAAGGGTTTCCAAGGAGTGGCTGGTGGATTTCAATTGCTGACCATAATGTTAGCAGTCCAGTGCTTATCTTACAGCATCATGCCAGGAATGGTTAGAGAGCTGAAAACATTGCCTTTAGAAGTGTATAGACCTAGGTGAAGATGTATTGAGAAACAGTAGCTGCACATTTTGATATTTTTGTTTAATAAAGGTTTAAACAACTTGTGTTGCAATACTTTTTTACTTACCCTCTTTTTTTTTAGTATCTTTGTGCATAAATGCATGTGAAGCTTCCTCATGCTTTTTTACAATTTCGTATTCCTCCATAGTAAGAATATGTTGTTAGGTGCTGTCAAGTTAATTTTGACTCATAGTGACCCCATGTGACAGCAGAACTGCTCCATAAGGTTTTCTAGGCTATAATCTTTATGGGATAAATCTCCAGGTTTTTCTTCCATGGAGTTGCTGGGTGGATTCAGACCATAAGCCATTCAGTTAGCAGCTGGTATGCCATCAGGGAAGGCTTCTTGAATTGCAAGGTTTTAAAGATTAAAAAAAGCCTGCTCTTTTGTAAAATTTGGATGTATTTATTTGTAAGATTAGTAAAATGCATGCTCTTTTAGGAGCACAAAAACGAATGATTTGAACTGTTCCATGTTGCCACAAAGAATATACTTGCATATAGCTAGATGAATATTTTCAATTTTAATGCTTTTTAAAACATTGGCTAGATAGAACAGTTAACAGTCCTTATATAGTACTCAACAACTGGTGGCGAAGTGGGTTATGCATTGGGCTGCTAACTACAAGATTAGCAATTTGAGTCCACTTGCTGCTCCATGGGAAAAAAGATGAGGCTTTCTGTGTCTGTAAAGATTTAGAGCATTGGAACCCTTATTCAGGGTTGCTGTTGACTTGGAACTGACTCAACGGCACATAACAACATAGTTCTCAAACCATCTTTATGTAACCTGAACTTCATGGAACCTATTTGTGAAGCTTCATTTCTAATTGTACCTTATGGGAGTTAAACTTCAGCTATATTTCTGATTTTTTTTTTTTTTTAGTTGTTGTGGTGCTGGGACAGCTGCAGACACAGACATGACAACCCAGCTTATTTCTTCCAACTTGGAACTCCACTCCCTCTCCACTGGCCGCCTTCCCAGAGTTGTGACAGCCAATCGGATGCTGAAGCAGATGCTTTTCAGGTAATGTTCCAGGATAGGGATTTCTAAAGTTTTTTTTTTTTTTTCATGTCTTAGTAGATTTTCAGCCAAAGGAAGCCTAGGACAGCTTTTCTAGAAGCTAGGGAAAAAGATTTAGAAATATTACATATTGTGTTAGGAATCAATTGCTATTAAAAAGTTACTTTAATTTCATAAGGCTTTTGATGGTACATTTGAATTTATGTTATTAAATTTTTGTCTTGGATAAGTTGGATGTGAGCAATTGAGTCATCTCATGAGACATAGTTGACATTGAGGGGATCACGGTGGTTCCATAGAGTAAACATTGGACTGTGAATCACAAGGTCAGTGGTTCGAGCCCACCAACCACTCTGTGTGAAAAAGATGAGACTTTTTGCTCCCTTGAAGATTTAAAGCCTTGGAAAGCTCTGTACAGGGTCACTATGAGATAGAACTGACTCATTGGCACTTACCAACAGCAACAGATGATGTTGGATATGAGTACCTTTTTTTACTTACAGTTAGAAAGAGCTGGAAGGAGCTTTTGAGTTCTCTGTGAAATCCTTATGTAGAAATGACTCAGCCTGCACCTACATACATATAGACACACAAAATAAATTAACTTTCTTCCCCCTTTTTTAAAGTCAGAATAGCAATGAAATGAAAAATGTGATGTTTTAGTTGGCAGTGTATGGGCATAATGATATGAACTAACATTTTTCTGTCTCTTACTCTTTGCCAGGCCCTGTGCTTAGTGCTTTATACTTGATCTCTTAACTGAGGTAGGGGTTGTTACCATTCTCTATAAGTGAGTGAATTGAGGCTTAAAAGGTGAAATTGTCTGACTTGATCTTTGCTCTCTGCTGATTCTCACAATAGTTCATACTAGTAGTTTTGTTTCTCCTTTATTAATCATATCACTTTATATAGTTCTGGAAATATTTAAAATTTTATGTCCATTTTCTTACATGATTTTTAAAAGAGTATACATTATAGTGGACATGGATTGGACATGCAGTCTTGGGTTTGAATTGACTTCCTTTTAGTACTTGCATTATTATGTTCAGCACATACTTCCCTCTTTTCTTTATCTGTAGAATGGATATTTTGAGAATTAAAGGGCAGCATGAATGAAAGCAAATATTGTAAATTGACAGCTCGCAGGCTTCTTTCAGCCAGTAGAGAACGTTTACTTGGGTCACATGATACTCAAAAATAAAAAGTTATCACTTGTTAAGTGCTGTCAAATTAGTTCTGACTCCCAGCAACACTGTGTAGGGTTTCCCTGGTGGGTTTGAACTGCCGACCTTGTGGTTAGCAGTCCAAACATTTTAATTAGAAAGTCTGCATTTCCAGCTGCTTTTGAAAAATTCAGAAAGCAGGTGGGATAAGACATGGCAGTAATCTTTTGAAACTGAGTGTGTTTGTTGCCTTTAGAAGGGAGTACATATGTTCTGGTGTGCTGCAGACTCTGCTTGATCTTTTGTGAATTTGTACCTCCTCAGGTACGTGTCTGGAGTCCTGGTGTGTCATTGTGAGATAAAGCACTGGACCACAAGGTCAGTGGTTCAACGTCACCAGCTGCTCCTTTGAAATCCTAGCTATGCAGAGTCACTATGAGTTGGGACTGACTTGACGGCACTTAACAACAACAGGCACGTGTCTAGTGTAGCTCCCTGTTGATATGTTCCCATTTTACAGATGAGGAAATCAAGATTTAGAATCACGGGCAGGCCACATAGTCCTTAGATCTATGTAATTCCTGCTCTGGCTATTCCGATTTCCAAATAATAGAATCATCATTCTAAATTATTACCAATGAAATTCTCTTAGTACATTGTGTCATGTTAAGTGTCGGTGAGTTGGTTCCAACTCATAGCGATCCTATGTAGGGTTTCTGAGGAGTGACTGGTTAGTTCAAACCACTGGACTAACAATTTGGGATTAGCAGTCCAGTGCTAATCCTAGTGTATTCTGCGGCACTACACTAGGACCCCACAGTGTGAGTTGTTGTGATTCATAGTGATCCTGTATAGAGTTTCCAGGGAGTGGCTGATGGGTTTGAGCTGTGACCTGTGGTGCTTTAGCAGTCCAGCATCCTACAGCGCCACACCACACCAGAGCTTGTTAAAAGCACACCTATTGAGGAGAGGTAAGGAGCTCTGGTAGCGTAGTGGTTACAAATCGGGCTGCGAACCTTAAGGTCAGCGGTTCGAAACTACCAGCTGCTCCGTGGGAGAAAGATGAGGCTTTCTACTCCCGTAAAGACTTACACCCTCGGAAACCCTATACAGGGTCGCTATGGGTCGGAACCGACTCGATGGCACATAACAACAACAACAACAATTGAGGAGAGGTGTCCTAAGACATTTGTGGATTTGACTTTGAATACAAAGCTCCCTCTAGTGGCTTGTATAATGCATTGCACTTAAACCATTTTTCTTAAGTTCTTGTATAGGGTTTCGGATGAGCGGCTGTTTGAACTGCCAGCCTTGTGATTCAAGCTTGTCTTGCATCCAGTACTTATCCTACAGGGCATACCAGGACTTCAAAACTATTTTAAAACTTATATAATTGTTGCAAATAGAGTATTTCAAGTTTCCTTGCAATGCTGTTTAAAATTTTTTGCTAAATAATCTGGCATATTTCTGTTCATCTTTTCAGAGTGTTTTAGAAATTTTGAATTCTGTGTTTTATCATTTTAAATGTAATACATTTTCTAAAGGTTAAATTTAGTCAGTTTCGTGGGGAAATTAAAATTAAGCCAGGAAATTTATGGCCCTTATATCTAATGAAATTTTGGGTGAGTTATATAAAATGAGAGTGGAAATTTAAAAAAGCATACATTTTAACATTAAACTTTGGTTCCAGTCCTGTTTGTAACACAGTCATGTGACTTTGGACAACTCACCTCATCTTTCCAAGACTCCCATTTTTTTGTCAGTAAAGTGGGGATAACACGTTTTTTCTCGCTGACTTTTGATGCTTAAATGAGTACAGAAGCAAGATCTATGAAAATGTCTAGTGCAGGACCTGATGGGTAGGTTTTGTGTTTGCATGTGTGCACACTGCCCATTTGATCCCAACTCATAGCAACCCTGTATACAGAGTAGAACTGTTCCTGTAATTACAGAGGCCTCCTGCCGGTTAATGCACGGGACTGCAAGGTTGGCAGTTCAAACTCATCAGCTGCTTCTAGGAAACCATATACAAGGTTACTATATGTTGGAACTGACTTAGGGCACTTAACAACAACAACAAACTAACTTTACGGAGTCCTAGTGTGGTGCTGTAGGATAAGCACTAGATTGCTAACCAATCGTATGGTTGGTGGTTCAAACCCACCACTCGCTTTTTTGAAACCCTATACAGTGTTTCTGTGAGTCAGAAGTGACTCGATGGCACTTAACAATCTTTATGGAAGCAGATTGCCAGGTCTTTCTTCTTATGGAGCCATTCGTGGGTTTGAACTGCTGACCTTTTGGTTAGCAGCGAGTTGCTTAGCTGTTGTGCCACCAGGGCACCTTATGGATAGTTGTTCATTGCTGTTGAGTTGGTTCTGACTCATAGTGACTTTGTCAAGTCTGCCTCCTCTAACTTCTGAAGAATAGCTCATGAGTTTCAACTGTTGACCTTGCGGTTCAAACTGACTTTGTAGTCCAGTGCATTTTCAAAGCCCCTAAAAACCCTAGTGAATATTCAGGGTTCAGGATGGTGCCCTGTACAGAGGTGTTTAGCAATGCTGCTTTATTAATATTAGTGCTTTATTGTTGTTGTTAAAAGTTGTTGTGTCGGTTCTGACTCAGTGACTTTGTATAGGGTTTCCAAGGCTGGTGAGCTCGAACCGTTGACCTTTTGGTTCATAGTCTAGTGCTTACCATACAGACTCACTGCACTTCTTTAATGTACAATGCATTAGTGTACATACATTTTTTTCTATGCTTAGTAGTATTTTGTTTTATAAAAATGGGATCATAGTTGTACATACTATGCTATAACCTAATCTTTTCACCTAACAATGCAGCTTGAATAGTTTTCTATGCTGAAGCATTTCAAAATGACAATAATCTTTCCTTTATTTATTTTTTAAAAGTAGTACATGATCACTGAAAAAAAAATTAGACACTTATAAATGTGGAATGAAAGTAAATGTTGCTTGATGTTCTGCCACTTAAGCACAGACATTATAAATTCTTTGATACTTGATACTTTTATATATGCTTTTACAATAACAGAATCCTACAATAAGTGCTATTTGGTAATTTATTCTGTTCATTTTTTCTGTTTGAAGAGCTAAAGGCTCACAGTGGTGAATTTCAAACCCAGCATGTTGTCTTAGGTCTAGCATAACAATTTTAATGTTAAAAAGTAGAACCAAATACAGTCTGTAGAAATGGAAAACCATCAAGGTATTAGGTCCAAAGGAATAAAAACATGGACAATTAAATGAAGGTTGACAATGTAATATTTATTCTGTTCATGTTCCTGAAGAGGTTTACCTGTATCCTTTCGGTGGTAGCGATGGGCTTATAGACGATCATGGAATAGTTTCATCATCCATTTCCCTGAATGATGAAATACTTTTTTAACTGAAAATGAGTTTATGTCTGCAATTATGGATTATAGTTTTGAAGATTTATTCAAAGAAAAAGTTTTTGTGTGAGCAATTTTCCTGAAAGATTATAATGAGGTAGATAATGTGAACATTTTGAGTTTAGTAGATCCCCATTGATAACCATGAAGGCGGCTTTCCTGCTGATCACAGAGATGTGATGGAAAGGGTGCTGATAATCTGGAGTAAGCCAAATTTGGCTTTGAACTCTGACTCTTGAGACACTGTGCAAGCACTTAATGTTTTGAGGTTTTGGTTTTCTATAACATGAGGATTATATTGTCTTCTTTTAAATGATTAGATGAAATAAGGCATAAGGAATACCTCACATAATTTGCAGTTAATATTGCATAATAGTAGACATTCAACTAATGTTCTTTCTATTCCTAATTGTTTTTATCAAAGCAATAATTCTTAATGGAATATTCTCAATTTAAGAAGCTTTTTGCTATCTTGATTCTTATGCAGCTTTTGGTTAAGTTACAGTGATGCAGTGAAGATTCATACTTTTTTTTTTAATGCATATTCTTATCACCAGGTATCAAGGTTACATTGGTGCAGCCCTAGTTTTAGGGGGAGTAGATGTTACTGGACCTCACCTCTACAGCATCTATCCTCATGGATCAACTGATAAATTGCCTTATGTCACCATGGGTGAGTGTAAATGTTTCCCTGATGTTCCCAAATCTTTATTTGCAAAGATGGTCTCTTAAAGAGCTAGTCTAGTTCCAGTTAGAGGGGGCAGTGTAATACAGTGTTTTGATTCATTCAACAATATGGTATTTATTGCATGCCTATTATGAAGGAATCCTGGTAGCATAGTGGGTTATGAGCTGGGCTGCTAACTATTGCAAAGTCAGAAGTTTGAATCTGCTAGTTGTTTCACGGGAAAAAGATGAGGCTTTCTGCTTCTGTAAAGATTTACAGCCTTGGATTTACAGGGTTGCTTTGAGTCAGAACTGACTTGGTAGCACACAACTGCTAGTATTTATCATCAGGCCCTATTCCAAGTGTTTGGGATATACCAGTGAACAAAGTAACAGATAAAGATACTTGCTCACAAGAGTGTATTTTTAGTGGGGGTTGTTGTTGTTTGTGCCATTGTGTAGGTTACGACTCAGTGACCCTGTGTAGATAGGGTGTTTGAGGAGTGGCTGGTGGGTTTGAACTGCTGACCTTGAGGTTCAAACTGACCTTTTGGTCCAGTACTTTTCCTACAGCACCACACTAGTGGGTAGAGAGCCAATGTACAACAACTAGCAACTCTAATAAGTATCTAGAAAGAAAGACTAGGTGATGTACTTCCAAAAATCAGCCAGTGAAACCCTATGTATCCCACTGATACAATCTCCAGCTGATCATGAGATACCTCTGGACTGGGCAGCATTACATTTTGTTTTTGATGGGGTTGCCATGAGATGGAAGCTAACAACAACATATATATAATCTGTTAGTGATAAATATCTGTTAGAAAAAAAGTAATGCAGTGACATTGTATAAGATTTTATAGTTGTACAGGATTTTACATTTGGGGAAATGGGGTGGATTTTACATTTGGGGAAATTGGGTGAATACATGGGACCTTGTATTATTTCTGCTTGTTGTTTTTAAGTGCCATCGAGTTGGCTCCGACTCATAGCGACCATATGTGGTCACCAGCCGCTCCTCAGAAACCCTATATAGGTCATTATGGGTCGGAATAGATTCGACTGTACTTAACAACAACTGGGTGACTTGAAAGTAGTAGGCAGAGGGTAGAATGGGGTGTAAATTGTAGTATTCATTAGGAGAGTTAGGGTAGGTTTTGTGAAGAAGGTGAGATTTTAGTGGAAGAGCCTGCCAGGCAGAGGGTAAACTAGAGTGGAGGCAGGTATATGGATAGGGGTGTGTGTTGTTGTTTTTAAGTGAGCTAGAGGGACTGGGGGCCCTCCTCACCACTTAATCTCTGAGAAATTCTATCACTTAACTCCTCTTGGCTGGTTGGTTTCCTCAACTGTGAAATGGTATCAATAATATTCCCAGGGGTTGTAATGATTAGCAATAATGTATATAAAGCTTCTGATCTCATGCTTGGTCTGTAAATAGGAGCTCCTTTCTTTCTAGACCAGCTTTTTTCATTTGTGTTTTAACTCTTAACTGCTAGTTAAGAGTGTGTGTGTGTTTTAATAACTCCCCTCTTCTTAGGAGAATTGAGATTTGCAAATTACAACCTTTATGTTACATTTCTGAGTCATGTTGTATAAGGTCTAGAAATTCAAATTGAGATTGTGTAGCTGGTTTTCCCAGTGTCTTTTATTTCTTACTTTTTTTGCATGGTTATCTTGGCTATGCAGAACTAGGGAAAACACCTCCCTTGGGAAATTTGGAAATTGCCGGTTTGAGACTTTGCTGTTCCCATTGTGTACCTGTTATGTGCTGTTGAATCGGTTCTGATTCACAGGGACCCTGTACAGGGTTTCTGAGGAGCGCTGGCAGAATTGAATTATCAGCCTTGTGGTTAGCAGTCCCGTACAGCACCACACCAGGACTCCATTGTGTTACCTAGCTTCTTGTAAGACTATTGTTGTTGTTGTTATTAAGTGCTGTTGAGTCGGTTCCGACCCATAGCGACCCTGTACAGGGTTTCCGAGGGTGTAAATCCTTACGGGAGTGGCTGGTAGTTTCTCCCGCGGAGTGGCTGGTAGTTTCGAACCGCTGACCTTAAGGTTCGCAGCCCGATTTGTAACCACTACATGCAACATATATTTCTTATTTGTTGGGAAAATGCTTTATTCCCATGTAAATCTTTGTAATTATTTTTAAATGAAAGTGCAGTAATTTTAGAATTATTGTGGATTGCTTTATTCAACTATTTTTATTCTCTAGTATTGTTTTTGTTTCTGCCCATATGATCCCTTTTTGTTGTTGTTAAGCGCCCTTGAGTCAATTATGACTCGTAGCGACCCTGTGTAGGGTTTCTGGTGGGTTGGACCACCGACCTTGCAATCCAAACTAACTTTGCTTATCCTATAGTTTATCCTCTGGCTCTTTTAAATGGTGGTAAGGTGAAATGACCTTTCCTTTTTAATAATTATATTTCTTATTTTTCAATTTTTTACTTTAAAAAATGTCAAACTTGCAGAAAGTTTACAACATTGTAAAATTAATAATCATACATTCTGTAGATTGTTCCAATTACCATTTCACCACATCACACATAATTTATTTCAGTTCTAAAATGGGAAAATTGAGTTGGTTTCTCTTGCTTTTGAAATACAGTAATTTATCTTTTGAGCTTCGTGCTGAATTTAGGAGAAGTTGTTGGAAGTGAATAGTCAAGAAGATTTGTGTCTACTTATTTCACTCCTCAGTCGGGCTTTGTGCTGTGTCTTGGCCAATGGTGTTCCTAGTATCTCTTTTAAGTGTAGTTTGAGTTCAGGGTGATTGTGAGTTTATAGAACACCCTGTTTAGAAATTACTTATTCCGTACAATAATGGTTCTGCTGTCATTATAAATATAGTGGTTATGAGTTGGGCTGCTAACTTCAGGTCAGCAGTTTGAAACTACCAGCCATTCTGCGGGGGAAAGATGAGGCTTTCTGTTCCCATGAAGATTTACAGCTTCGGAAACCCTATGCAGGGTCACTATGAGTTGGAACCGACTCCAAGACATACCACCACTACTACCATCATCATTACAAAGGGAGTAATGCGGTGTGGCGCTGCAGCATAATGCACTGGACTGCAAGGTCAGTGGTTCAGACTCTCCTTGGAAACCCTACATAGAGTTGTTATGAATCAGAATGGACTCCACTGCGCTTAATAGCAATCATTATAAGATCAGATTTAAAAGATTTCGACCAGTAAAACAGTGTCTGATTTTTATGTTGTTGTGTGAGGTGCCAACGAGTTGGTTCCAATTCATGATGACCCTCCAGTGTGGTGCTGTGGATTAATGTGCTCAACTGCAAAGTCATTTGATCCGCAATATTGGGGTTCAAGCTCACCAGCCGTTCTTCTGAAACCCTATACAGGTCGCTATGGGTTGGGTAACATGTTCAAGAGTCTCACCATCCTGGCTTCTAAAGAGCTTTCAGGTTATATTTATTCAAAGGCAGATTTGGTCATTCTTTTGGTGGCAGCTCATGGTGTATTTAATTTTCCTCCGCAGCACGACTCAGTTCTTCTGTCTTCCTTATTCTATTCATTGTCCAGTTTTCGTATGCATATGAGACAATTGAAAGTGTACCATAACTTCAGTCAGGCTCATATTACATCTTCCAAAGTGACATCTTGGCTTTTTGACACTTTAAAGAGGTCTTTTGCTGCATATTTGTCCAGTGCAGTCTGTCATGGGAGGGTAAAGGGGGTGGGGTAGGGGATGGGACAGGCATTAAACAACTTAGTACAAAAGAACACATTGTGATAAATGCCCTTGAAAAGGACAGTATGCAGTAAGAGAATAACAGGAAGGAATATGTGGATGATGAGTATTTGGGAAGTCCTCATTGAACAAGTAACCTTAAAATATTTTCTAATGTAAGTAACTTATGGACTTGATGAAATATTCAAGCAGGACAACGTTTACATGAAAAATGTGCCTTTATTCCATGTTCATCCCCCATAGGAACCACTGTTAAGAATTTTTGTTTTTTTCCAGAAATAGTTGTGTGGTTTACATCGGTCCATTCTACCATCTCTCCCTTCCAAAAACACATAAGTGAAGTCATATTATACATAGTATCTTCCCCTTATTATTTATTTTGAAAATATTTTTGTATCAGCACTTGTAGATTGATGTCATTTCTGTCACAGCTATCACATTATTCAGCTATAACAGGATTTACTGACCATTCTTCTGTTGATGAATGTTTGGTTTTCCTGTTGATGAATTTTTGCAGCCAGTGTGTCTTGGTATACTTTGTATAAGTACAAGCCTTAGAAAAATTCCTAATAGTGAAATTTCTGCATTAAGGTATTGTTGCTGTGAAGTGCTGTCGAGTCTTTTCCAACCCATAACCACCCTGTATAGGGTTTCCTAGGAGCAGCTGGTGAGCTTGAACTGCCGACCTTGCCGTTCAGATGGCTTTGCAGTCTGGCACATTAACCCACAGCGCCACACCAGGTATATGCATGTATTAATCAGGATTGTTTGTTGCAAGCAATAAAATCACTGCATAATTGAAGAAAGAGTGGGAAAGTTTTTTTAAAAAATGCTTACAAAATGACTGAGAGGATGAGAACTAGTATTGGTGCCACAGGCCAGAGACCGCATCTAGAATTGTGTTGTAGAATGGACAATTGCAGCCACGTTCAGGGGACTCCAGTCTTCAAGGTGGGCACTCCACTCATGCTGCCCTGGTTGCTTCCAGGATGCTGTGTCTTTCACTGCCAGGGAGTTCCTTATTGCAAAGGGTTGGTTCTTTAGAGTGAAGCTTAACCTCCCACTCATAAGGTGGTAGGTTCCCAGAGCATAGGAAGTGAGTGCAAATGCCAGGTAACCCAAAGGAATGACAGATGGCCATATAGTGTATTTTACCTTTTGAGAATCTTTGCCAAATTGACTTTCAAAAAGATGACACTAGTTTACACTCCCACCAACAGATTATGAGAATACATTTCTCTCACAGCCACTCCCACACTGGATATTTTTGTTAACCTGATGGTAAAAAATG